CGAGCCATGTCTTCCTACACCACCATCTTGAACAGAAGCCATATTTTTTAAATTAAATTTACTGAGATGACACCTCTAAGATTATGTAGGTTTCAAGTTTATGTTTCTATGATACATGACCTGTATATAGCATTGTGTGCCCACCACCCCAAGTCAAATCATCCTCTGTCACCATATATTTGGCCCCCTTTACCTTTTACTAACCCCCCACACCCTTTCCTCTGGTAACAACTGTACTGTTGTCTGTGTCTGTGGTTTTACTTTTATATCCCACATATGAGTGAAATCATGTGGCTGTTAGCTTTTCCTGACTGACTTATTTTGCTTAGCATAATACTCACAGGGTCCATCCATGTTGTTGCAAATGGCAGTATTTCATCTTTTCTTATGGCTGAGTAGTATTCCATTGTATATATGTACCACATCTTTTTTATCCATCTATCGAAGGAAATCTTGGTTATTTCCATGTGCTGGCCACCATGGATAATGCTGCAATGAATATAGGAATACAAATATCTTTAAAAATAAATGTTTTCAAATTTTTCAGGTAGCTACCCAGAAGAGAGATTTCTGGATCATATGGTATTTCTATTAATTTTTTGAAAAAACTCCATACTGTTTTCTGTGGTGGCTGTACCAGGTTATACTCCCACCAGCAGTGAATAAGGGTTCGTTGCTATAACTTGTCTTATTGACAAAAGTCATTCTGTTTTGATCTCTCTTACTTATTGGCTTCCCTCACATGTGTGGTGGTCCCTGCCTATATTTTCATATCAAATTGAAAGAACTAGGAGTGAGCAGAACTTTAGTAAACTGATAGGGCTTCATTACAAGGATTTGGGGGCTAGATTCTGAGCCTGCCTTGGGTTCTGTAAGACAAACTTGTTTTCTTACTCCTGTAAGAAAAGTGCCAAGACACTCTCTTTAGGCACCAAAGTTGTGCTTCCTGTCCTTTGTTCTGCCTTGTCAGTAACCACTCCTTTTTTTAGCCTTCAACTTTCTTTTTTTTTATTGTTGTTCAAGTACAGTTGTCTCCACTTTCCTACCACCACTTTCCCTTGACCTACAGACCCCCACGGACCACCCTCAGTCCTAATGTCCTTCGGCTTTTTCAGTCTTCAATTTTCAAACATTAAAAATCATGTGCTGTTTATCCTATACAGTGTAGCTTTTTTTATGCCTTTAATTCTAGTAAGATATCTCTGAAAATGAGGGGAGAGGAAATAGATTTGTGGTCAGTCCACCATGTTTAACTGAAATTTAGAACCTATATTTAAAGTAAATCAAAGTTTAAAACTTCAATTCAATAAAATTAAAGATATTAATTCAGAGAATATTTTTTGGTTATACCTATAGTTAGCATACTACACTTTTCTACTAAAGCCTTGTTTAAGAATTCTATTCAAACCATGCACTGTGCCATATTGTCCCATTTACTTGCAACATAGAGCATTTTCATTAAAGTATAAAGTGTTAGAAAATTTAAAGTTAATTAAAAGTCATTAATTCTGAAAATATCCAAAACTGGTCTTATGAAAAAGTAGATGGAAAACAATAACTTTCAACTTTATTTTTTAATAAGCACAGTAGGTGGGGGCACGATTTCTACAAGTGCTTGACTTGATAGTAAGGTTTGGGGTTTCACTTAGGAAGTTTATGGGTATGGTTCTTTTTCTGGTCTTTGCTGTTAAACTTGAAGCCCACTAAGTAACGCCTTCCCTTTCTTCTGAAGACTATAAAAGTCCATCTATTCTGTCACTAGTGCTAAATGAATGAAAGAAGATATGGTGGGATACTTTTGTCCCTGTCTATTCTAGAGACCTACTGAAATACCTATTAACACTAACTTTTCAATAGTATTTTGCTCTTCAATTGTTTTTTGGTATTTGCACTTTTTATCTTTATGTTTGTCAGTATAGTTTATTGAAGTTGTAAGCCAGCAATAGTAAGGCTTTAACCATAAAGAAAAATTGTCTTAAATTTTTAAGCAAAATGAGGGGAAATTAGCTGTCTGATAGCCAATATATCCAGGCTTTGCTAAGAAGCTTAATTCTGTCAGGGGTGCCCCACCTGTGGCCTGCGGGCTGCCTGTGGCCCAGGATGGCTATCAATGCATCCCAACACAATATCATAAATTTACTTAAAACATTATGATATTTTTTGTGATTACATGTCACAATGTATTTAATTTGTGGCCCAAGACAACTCTTCTTCTTCCATTGTGGCACAGACACACCAAAAAGTTGGACACCATAGGATAATAAGTGTTTAGTACTGAAAATTTTGAATAGTTAGGGGTAGGCCTGAAATGATGGCAAAGTGCTCCGTGTTTCTTTGGTTGGTTTCTTAGAGCCAGCAGACTCTGAGTTGTTGATTTACTGAATGAGCCTCTATAGGGCTGTGAGCCATGTCTAATTAAAATTTTTTAATGTTTTAGGACTAGTATTTTCAAAGACAAATCAATATGCATTCATAATAGAAAAAATTTTAAATAGAGGAAAATGGGGGCATAGATTATCCAAAGCTTTACCAACTAGTCTAAATTTTTGTCTATTCTTATTACTACCCCGTATACAGGTTTCTGCTCATAACTGACTTTATTATGGCATATTACATGCCATATTATACCTTCATAGTAGTGATCTTAAAAGGTAATCTTCCATTTAGAATAAAAGTATTTGAATGAAATTTTATATTTTATACTATATTTGGTTTTTGTTGTTATCGTTGTTTTTGAGGTCCCAAAAGCAAACTGCATGTTAACTGCATAGCTTAGGGAACATATTAGAGTTTTAGCTATAATTAAACATTTCTAGCTTGAAGGAACATTTATTCCTCCAAATAGTGATTCTTTTAAAAAAATATGCCATCTGGAACTTTTGATTAATGAAGAATAAGTGACTTTGAAATAAACTTATGGAACAGGAAAAATGGTGTTTTATATAATATAAAGGTATTTCTGATTATTGGCTACTGGCAATTTTTAAATGCTCTGCATTTTAAAAGATATCAACTGGCTTGATTTTCTTCCTGTCCTAACTTTTGTGTATTTGTGGGGGATACTGATGGGAAAGTATGCTGGCATGATGAAAGCTATTATATATTAACATGAGGGAGGGAAGGCTTATCTGAATTAGTTTATAAAAATGCAACAGAACTGACAGAGTAGACAGTTAGACAGACATGAACAGAGAAGAAACAATAGGCCAACTATGGAAAGTCACCAGGGTGGAAAGCCCTGGGTACCTAGCAATAGGCAAAGTTGGAAAACCAAGTATTATAAGATGGCACCTTGCCTCCACAGTGACATTTCCTCCCCTAGCAGATTGCTGCTCATGTGGTTTAGACCCCTTAACCTTTCATATCACTGGCCATGTGGTTCAGACCCTCCTCTGAACTCTCCTCCCCTGGCATATCAACCCCCTGAGAGGAGGAACAAGGGGGCCGGAGAATAGCCTCACAGGACGCCCACACAGGCCCTTGCACCACCACTCCCTCAGACATTAAGCCCTCAGGAGAATGAGGTTCTGGCCTGCATCAATTAACCTTAGGAACAAAGCCGTAGTCTGTTGGCCACCGAGACAGAGTTTTGGTCAAACTAGAGATAACATCTAGGCTTCAGTTGTGTTTCCACTCCAGGCTCAGAAAAAGCAGCAAAACCAGGTGAGATGACACCATGACTGACATCAGGACCAGCTGCAATGACTAATGACCCCTGCCCTGGCACCAATCAATCAGTGGAGACCATGACTCTGAGGGGACACACCTGAAAAGCTGATGAACATTCTCTTGAGATCCTACCCTGAGACATCCCTAAAATTTCTGCCTTTGGATAAAAACCCTTAAGACGAAGGACCCAGCACGCGCTTGCGCTCTCTCTCTCTCTCTCTCTCTGTCTCATATCTGTGGCCTTCCCCACCCTCTTTTTAGGCATACTTGTCTTTGGAGCATGCCCACACTTTTTGGTCTCTACTTCCCTCAGGCATGTATATCCTTGGTTTCTTTCTCCTAAGTTTCAAAGGCCTTTCCTTTGCCTCTGTACCTTTTTTCCTGAGTCCACACAACCAAGCTGGCTCACTTTTTCTACCTCTGTAACTTTCTAACTAAACTTTCCCTTATAATTGAGAAACTTGGGTAAGTGGCTGCTGGCAGAGGTTTCTAGGAGGTAGATGCGGGGAGGGACTTCAGCTAGCTGGGAAAAGGAGGAAGAGAAAGGCCTTGTAGGCAGAGCAGCATGAGGCAAGGTGGGGTCCTGATGGGTATCAAGTAACTTAGAGAATAGAATTAACATTTAGAAATGAGTGGAAAGTATTCTCTGAGGTTCTCATTTGAGTAATGCACTGATAGTCTTACTTAAACATGAAGTGGGAGTTAAATTCTCAGAGTTGTTTGATCCGTTTTTTAGATGTGAAAGGATCTTAAAACAATACTTCTTCATCTTCTAGATGAGGAAACTAATGCCCAAAGAGGCCTCAGGTCCCCCAGCTCATCAGCCATCGGGCAGCCCCAGCACAGCACACACACCCCTCCTCCTCAGGAACATTTGTTTCATCATGCTGACTCCTGAACTGACATTTAGAGTTGGCTTTCATTTACTTCAATAAAAATGCTCTTGCTTCAATATTACATAAGGCATTATGTTTTAATGTAATAAATAGCAAAAATAGAAATCTCAGCTACTTTTCATTTCTTAAGAAAAGCTCTGAAATCTTATTCTAAGTGTTTTACATTATTATAAAGGGAATTTATCATAAGTGTTTGCCACATTTGATTATAGGTAGCATTTTATAACCCAATCCTCAAATCTCATCTGTGGAAGTTGAAGTATTTAGTGGGTTCCCCATAGAGCTGTCCCCGTTATCACACTAAAGCGGTTCAAGGAGTATAAGAAAAACCTTAATTCCTAATCGATTGGCATTTTAACCAAGAAGAAAAAACCCACAATTCTATAAGTTTAACTTACTGTAATATTTAAAAAAAACATTTCTCTTTCCCGTCAGGTATCTCTAAGTCACCTTACTGAAAAGTACAGCTCGTGCTCAACAATATTTTTAGATGACAGCACAATTTGCCAGCCTAACCTTGGAATCACTGTACAATGGTGAGTGCAAGTAAGTTGCCCAGGGCTCACTAACAAACCCCCATACTAAGAGCATCCTGCCCATATGTAATTTTAGTCATTCATTGTCCTTTTCAGTGATCAGGTTAAGAAAGTGATGTCAATCATATATTGATTTCAAGGACCTAAACATGAATTTCCAATTTCCATTTTACTCTTAGAGTAGATGGAAGAAAGGAAAGCCAGTTGGCAAATAAAAAATTCCCCCAAAAGTATTTATCTTTATTTCATGCATTACTGTTTTTGAGACATTGTTGAACACAATGAAAGGAGAGATGCTTTGTATTGAATGTTTCTAGAAAACATTTCTTTATGAGGTTCAGGCCTAAAACAAAGTGTACTACTTTTTTCTCTTTTAAAAAAATTATTGTTGTTCAGTTACAGTTGTTCCCATTTTCCCCCATTACTCTCACCTGCCCTACCCACTTCCCCACTTTCCACATTCAGTCCTCCCCCTTTCCTTTTGTCTTTGTCCATGGGACCTTTATACATGTTCCTTGACTTGACTCTTCCCCTTTATTCATCCTTCCCTTCTGGTTACTCTCAGTTTGTTCTTTATTTCCATGCCAGCTGTTCTTTTTTGCTCACTTGTTTGTTTTGTTGATTAGGTTTCACTTATAGATAACATCATATGGTATTTGTCTTTCACCACCTGGCTTATTTCATGTAGCATAATGCTCTCCAGTTCCATCCATGCTGTCGCAAAGGATAGGAGCTCCTTCTTTCTTTCTGCTGCATAGAATTCCATTGTGTAAATGTACCATAGTTTTTCGATTGACTCATTTATTAATGTGTGCTACTTTACAGGCTACTCTTGGAAGAAGGAACAGCTTTTCCCCTACTGACACCAGAGTGTATCTGCATTTAAATTTAATTGGATTTTGTCAGATTTCCCCCATGGTATATTTTTTCCCTACACTATTTCTATATTAAAATTCAATTCTTCCAAAAAAATGTATCAAACCAGTCTTAAGGAACAACTTTTCAAGTTAATTTTTTATGGATAAAATTTGTTCAACTAAGGCTTTAATTTAATAGACATATTAAATTTCATTATATATGTATATGTATAGACATATATACATATACATATATATCCAAGACACTATATCAGTCCATATATAAGAAAATCACAGCAGAAAAAAAGTGAGAGATTGAAGATGGGCTTTAAAAACACCCTAAGATGAAACATTCAAGCTTATTTAAGAGCAAAATAAAACCAAAATATGACATAGAGCTTCCTGAATCCTGCTGGGATCATCCAAGAGGCATTGCTGGTGTCTCCCTGGGATATGAGTGCTGATTTTTCAGAACACAGTTTGGGAAATACTTCTTTAAAATATTAATATTCTCATTCCTAAATTTTATTTTTCAGTCTTAAAAACATAATTTGCTTATAAACTTAATTTTGTTTCCATTGTACCAGCTTTTTTTGCTAATTAAATTATCAATAACTTCTACTTTAATTAAAAATAGCAAGTTTACAATCATAATAATGTAACTTTCTTCTCCCACTCACAACAGTAGTTGAGATCAGACTGTGTTTCAGCAAAAATTGAGCCCCTTCTCTCTCCCAAGTCCTGAGCTTGGCGTCTATCACATAATCTCCAGATGTTTTTATTCAGGCAGGACATGAAATCCATGAGTAAAAACCCCCTTGATTTTGCCTGAATTCCATAGCTTTTCTTGAATCCAAAGGTTCCAATGTTACAGTATATAATTCAAAAGTAGTTTTAAAAAGTAACCTTGCTCATACAAGCAGTTTTTATGTTTCTTATCTTTACATTAGTCTAATATTTGGAAATAGAATAAGTTTAATTTGCTGTCATTAAATGTTGAAAATGCTCATTCAGTACACTTACTATTGATTGGTAAAATAAAAGTCTACTGAGAAAATTAATTGAGCTAATTGGCTTTTCAGAATGGCTTTGAAAAAGTGTTTATATGGGGTAGTAGTGCATTTTTCTCAGTGGGCTGAGTGAGCCTTATTAGAATCGCTTATACAACTTTTTACAAAATATATGCCTCTAACCACATGCATTCCGTTTCCCCTCCCCCAACACACTCTCTCACTCTCACAGGCTTTTGATAAGCTGAGGAAGGATGAGAGGCATAATTACATTGAGAAAACCATCCACAGTGATTTTGATTTCAACCCTAATTCATGTGTTCTCAAACTTTGCTGCATATTGCAGTCACCCGAGAGAAGCTTTAAAAACAATCCCAAATCATACCCATCACCAGTTAAATCAAATCACCTAAAGGTGGAAGCCAGGCAGTTGTTAAGGCTCCTTTGATCATCCCAATGTACAGCCAAGATTGGGACAACTGCCAAGTTAGAGTGTCGGAGACAGAAAGATGCTTCTCATGATTGGCAGACCTAGAGCATGTCACTTCTAAACCTTGGTTACCCTATCTGTAAAATGGGTTGTTGAATTAAATGTTACCAAAAGTTTGTTTGTCCTTTTCAGCTTCTATGCTTCTATGATTTTAAATAGGTTTGAAGATGAAACTGTTTGAAGCACTATAAAAATATTTGTCTTTGTTGCTAACAATAGCGTAAGCCTTTTCACAAGTGCTAACATTCTACAGACCTAGTTATCAAATTCAGGTTTGCTTTCCTTCAATTATTTTGAGCTTCATTTTATAATAGATACTGAGGGCAAAGAGGAGAAGCATATAACCTAGACTTAACCTATAACTTAACTATATCCCTTTGTGCCATATTACACAGCATCTGTGAATAACTTAGTAATCCAGTAATTTACATAGTATTGGAGGACTTACATCTGTTCATGAAAATTTTATTTAAGCTTACTGGAAATACATGTTATTAATATCACACTGTGTACTATTATGCTGCATTGTTAGCACTACTTATTTTAGGAGTGTTAGACCTATTGATTTTTGTGGGTTCTTATATTTGCTATTAAATTTTCTAATAATTATGTAACAGTGATCTTAAATGGTATTATTTGGTATAGAGCATTTACTTACCTTTATGGAAATGATAGAAAATGGGAAAAACTACTGTATGGCTTAAATTCAAGCAAGCATACAAATAGGTATAACTTGTACCAGACAAAAGGTTGTGTGGGTAGAAGGACAGATGACAGGGGAAACATGTAATAACATGAAAATCAACTAAAACATGTCTTCTGTAAACATATTACCCAGCATTTTAGTTTTCCTAATTTCGCCAAAAGACAAAGAGCTACAACAATGCAAAAAGTGCCTGTGTGATACTGCCCTGAATTAGGATTCCATAGCCACTGGGCAGCTAGGAAGGTCTCCCCCCACCACAACCCCCTTTAAAGATTGTCTTCAGACCTAACAAAATCAACTGTTACAATTTTTTTCCCTCCACAGCCTGGCCTTAGCACTCTATTACCACATAAAAAACAGGTGAGTCTTTAAAACCTGTCTTGTTATTTCAGCTAATAAACTTACAAAATATAAACTTTAGTGTTAGGTGATAGCTATAGGCACTATTGGAGTAAGCTATAGAATGCTTTTATTATGTTATTGAAGTAAATCATTTGTTTTTGTCTTAAGACTCTTAATGCTTAAGTTACTGAGGATCCCAAAGAGTATTTGTTTATGTGGGTGATATTGATATTTACTGTATTAGAAATTAAACCTTGAGAATTTAAAAGTAAGTCCATTGTGTGTTAAAACATGGTTTGTATAGCACTGTTGAAATTTTGAGCTAGATAAATCTTCATTGTGGCCGATTGCCTTGTGCCTTACAGGACTTTCGGCAGCATCCCTGGCCTCTACTCACCAGGTGCCAGTAGCACCCTCTCCCCACCCCACATTGTGACAACAGAGAATGTCTCCGACCATGGCCAAATGTTTCCTGGGGGACAAAAATCACCCCTGATGTGGAACCACAGTATTAACAAACTTGTTATAGAAAATAATTATTTTCCACAACAAAAAACTAAGTGGAAATTGTGTCATTCACAGTTTTGCAAATCCCTTATTATCTGGTTTAATAGGAGAGAACGATTCTCATGTATACCCTGTCATCAGTCAGTTGTGATTACTTCAGTCATCTCCATAATTTTTTAAAGAATCAGTATGAAGAAGACCCAGCCTCATATAACTTTGTGGTTAGAAAAGGGGTGTATTTCTAAAGCCTTCAGATAATTGTGGATATTTTTTGATACTTCACCAAAAGTCCACAAATGCTGGTTTCTTAAATTAGTTACAGTGGAATTTTAAATCATACCTGTGAGCTGGTAGTAAGGTCTCTGTTAAATTGATATCCATTCATATATCTTGTTTGCTGAATGGATCTTTTTACTTGTACATAGTTTTATAGTAATATTATACATTGGTCATTTGGAAACTATTGGTTCACATTTCTCTGTACAGTGTTTAAACTCACTTTTGTTGGTATCATATCACCACCAGTCTTACCAGGAAAGCCTGTAAATATTGAAAAGCTTTCAAGCTCACAAAAAGAGATATAAGTTTTCCACAATCTTGATTTTTAGCCTGATAGCTTGAATTGTGTGATTGGCAACAAATATGCAAGTCATTTCCCCTGAAGTGACAGGCTCGCTTTTCAGTTGTGAGAGAATGACAGTTGTACTATCAAATAAAATGTTATTCTGTGGAAAAAGTGGCTTGTTCTGTTCACAACTAAGCCACCAATGGTTTTCCTCAACACAACCGTATTCCAGTATGCAGAAGTGTGTAATAAATGCTGCTTTGCATTTATTCAGAATATAAAACATTATGTAGAATTTAATTACATTGTTAATTCCTGCTTTATCAAAGATGTTCTTAAGTAAAGTAGAATTCTTTTCTCAGCCACAAGTGGCAGTAAGGGATAGAATGACTGCTAGTGCAGTGTGGTACCGCTGCCTTGATTCCATGGGCAGAACCAGTTTTATTGACCTTTGCTTTCACACAGCCTTTGCAAATGTCAGTGTAAAAGAGGCAATGCTGCAATATTTTTATAAAAACAGTTTTGGCCTCATGGGCCTCCTGGAAGGGTCTAGGGGAACCAGAGGCCTGCAAAACACACTTGGAGAACCACTGTTTAAATGAGTAAAGGGTGTTAGTGTGGTGAACTGTTAAAAAAAAAAGACTGGTCACATTTCACATTTAAAATAAAAAGGCAAGTTTTAACTCAAACTATTTAAAAGAGACAAGAAGAAATACACAATAAGAATATAATATAGTGCCCTGACTGGTATGGTTCAGTGGCTTGGGCATCATCCTGCTATCTGAAAGGTTGCCAGTTCGATTCCCGGTCAAGACACATGCCTGGGTTGCTGGCTAGGTCCCCAGTTGGGGGACATGTGAGAGGAAACCAATCAGTGTTTCTCTTGTACACTGATCTTTCTCTCCCTCTCTGTCCCCTCTCCCTTCCATTCTCCCTAAAAAATTAAATAAAATCTTTAAAAACAAGAATATAATATAGGATACTAATAAGAGAGAAAAGTAGGGAAAAACACGAATCTCCTATTGATGTCAATTATTGCCCATCACTACTGCTTTGTAAAATGTTCTCGTGTATTCCAATGTGAGGTGAGAGGAGTGTAAATATATTTGGTTTACTAACATTGTCTGTTAGGGAGGGTCAATGTTTATAAAGGCAACTCTGACTGCTCATTGTAGAAAAGATTTCACAGAATTTGGTGTGCCGAGTAAAAAGAGGCCAGAAAACACAGAATCCAAAAGAAGAATTTGTAGAAGGGCTTTGTTGAAGGTAAAGCTTCTCCCTCCACCCCTCTCTCTACTCCTAGCAAATGTGTTACTAAGACATAAGCAATTACTAAATTAGTTTTTTAAATGCATGTTCTTATTTTATAGAGATGCAGATAGATCCAAGGATATTTTTGATGAAAGGTTACATCCATTCACAGTAAGTGTCAGTTGTATTGATTTTGTATTTTTCTCTTATACAATTGTGTTTATAGTTCATGCTGATTTGCTTTGAAATTAATTACTAGAACAAAATGACTTCCTCCAGCCAGAAGTCAAAATGATCTTCCTTTAAGTTTTCTTCCCCACCCCATGTTGTAGCTAGTTATTTTACAAAAACAGTGTTGTATAAGAAATATGTTAGTAAAAACTGAGTTGCAGCTTTGTATAATTAGTGAAGGTGAGTAAACATACCCCCAAAACAAAATGTATCTTTTTAAAATTTTTATTGATGAGATAGAGCCAGAAAGAGAGAGAGATATCAATTTGTTGTTCTACTTGTAATTTACACATTCATTGGGTGTTTCTTGTATGTGCCCTGACTGGGGATCAAACCCACAAACCTGGAATATAGAGATGACGCTATAACCAACTGAGCTACCTGGCCAGGGTAAAGTGACTCTTTTTATAAGATCATTTTCAGTAGCATCAAACAATATAAATATTTGTAAGTAAACCTAATAGATATGTCACAATCTCTATGAAAAATATTAAACATCTATTTAAACTTTGAAACAATTAGAATGAGAAAAATTTTCAAATTCACTTCTTGAGATGCTTTGTCACAGAGCCTATAGCAGTATGTGGCTGGCGACTGCTGTGCAGGACAGCACGGCACAGCTCTGGAGCCTGGTGGCTCCAGGAAACTGAAAATGTATCTTCAGAGTTGATCACAGTTTGTGGCAATCAGTAAGGCTTTTGAGCCTTAAAATAGTTTATGTTTAGATAGAATTCTACAGGGAAAGGTGGAAAGAAACATATAAATTTTCTGAGGTTGTGCCTGTACTTTTCTTTAATGAGTGGTAGTATTGAATCAGTATTGTTTTTTAAGGTCCCATTGTTTATATGTAAAAGACTAGGAAACATGTCACCCAATCAAAATTATTTTACAGGGCACGTGGGCACAAGTAGAAGACTGGTATCATAAGAGTACTTAAGGATTTTTCCTCAGTGGATACTTACATTGCATTTTTTCTCCTTTCAGCAAGAAATGGTTCCAGAGGAGCACTTCAGTCGTGACCCCGACCCTGACTTCATTTACAGGTTCATCAGTCCTTTCTTCAGTGCCACACAGCTCAGAGCTGAATACGCGATAACAACTTTGGTAAGCTGGTTCTTTCAGCAAGTACCTTTTCTCTCTTGTCCACAGGGTATGATCTTAGTTTTCAAATAAAAGTAGGTTCCTGAAATGATCATCAGACCTTTATTAAGAGAAACATATCAAAGGAACTAAAATACACACATTTGAGCTTAATAGTTATAATTTAAAACATCCTTGCTTTTATTATCACCAAACAATTGCTATTAAAGGCAGCAGGAGAGATTTCTGGTTTTTCACTCTCCAACTCAGGAGACCTCTGCACACACAATGCACACAAATGTACACAGACAAGCCATAGGATGCAGCAATAACAAAACCCTCTGGTCCTCAGACAGAGGCTGATCTCATGTAGTTTTAAGCTGAGCCCCAAGCTGTATTCCCTAGGCAGTTCTAATGTGTGTCTTGATAGAGAACATAGCCCTAAGTTCTCTGTTCCTTGGATGGTGGGTGTTAATTCATCCCTGCTGTCTTCTCGTGTCTGCCTGTGAAGCTGTCTAGGACGTAGTGCCAGTAGTGCTTGAAAAGTGCTTTGCTGGTTTCCTCCCAAGCTACAGCAGTGCACTGACCTTCATGTCATCTGTACAGAATTCCTATGGTAAGAGTTTATCATTTGGAACACGTAGTCCTATTCTAGTGAGAAGTAATTGGGATTGTATTACTCTTCCCTCCAATAGTCCTAAAGGGTAAAGTCAACTGCATGGTCTGGAGGGAAAGAATGCTTAGGTCAGTGCCTCCTCCTTTAGTATCCAGTTAAAGTTTTGGAGAAGCAGCCTGTGCTTCTGAATACAGATCCCTCAATAGGCACTGGATCATACACAGGCCTTTTCATGGAGCTTTTAGCCATTTGGAGTGCTTAGCACATGCTGGAGAAAAGCAAAAGTACTACTTCCATGTGCAGAGCTAGGTGATACAGGAAGGAGAACATCTGCACTGGAAGAGCATGAGGTGTGGTAGAGAAGTTAAGCTTGACACACCTGCAAGACAGCAGAGTGGTAATTTCTTGTCATCATTTGAATATGTGGAATTAGAGCATGAATCTGACCTGGAGGTAGGGAATTAAGAGTAGCTGTTCAAATGCAGAGAAAGCATGTGAAAAATGAGTGTATAGAAGATACAATAGTGACAAAGAGTAGGTATTCTGTGGGTATTTATGGAATGAGCAAGTTCTTGGCAGCATTCAGCCTTTTGACCACACTCTCTTTCTTGAGCCTCACTTATCTTGACTTCTCCTGGTTTCCCCATCACTCTAAGCCACTCCTGGGGACTTGTCCATTAAGTGCTGATTGTCCTTACAGATCTAAGTGCTGAGGATAGAGGAAAGAAAAAGTTGAATAAAGTTTTTGCCTTTGTGGAGCTTGTATTCTAGTGAGGAAGACATAAGTATTTTTTAAATGAGTGTATTTAAAAAGATGAATATTTCTGGTAGTAGTAAATGCCAGGAAGATAAAGCATGGTAAAGTGATAAGGTGATTACAGAGTCTTACTGTTTTAGGTAGTATGATCAGGAAGAGCCTCTCTACACATGTAATATTTGAACTATGACCTGACTGAAATGAGAAAAATAAGACAGAGGGGACAAGCACAAGATTCTGAGACAAGAACAAGTTTTGTGTGTTCCAGGAACAGTGAGGTGTGGCCGATGTGGTCGAAGTGTGTAATGAGAGAAAGAATGTAAGAGATCTGGTCAGAAACGGAAATGCCCTATCTAATAGAGCCATGAGTTTGCAGGCAATGGGGAGAAGTTAAATTTTTATTTGTTTAATGGGAAACCTCTGGCAGACATTGAGCAGGGTGGTGAAGTGCTCTTAAAGAGACTATCCTGGCTGTTTTGGGAGAAGAGACTGTAGCTGTGAGTCAAGAGAAGTCAAGAAGTCAGGAGGCAGTACCAGTGATACAGATAAGAGGTCACAAATAGAACAGAAAGTGGTCAGATTACCAGTGACAGGTAGAGGTAACAAGAATTGCTAACAGATTGGAGCAGGCTAACATGGTTGGAGGTTTTGGGCTCAGTGCCTAGGCAAATGGCAGTGCCCTTTTGTTATTAGGGAAGGCTTGGGGGTGGAGAGTTGGGATGTAGGGCTCTGGTTTGTAAGTGCAAAGGCACAGATGACCTTAGCAACACTAGTTTCAGTAAGGTGAGAGTGGCAGGGGGCAGGCTAAAGTGGGTTACGGAGAGAATGGGAGGAGAGAAGTAGTATCAGGGCATTTACTGTGAGCAACATGAGAGGAAGCATTCTAGGGGCTGTGGGGGTGGGGTGGGAACAACATGAACACATCCATATTGGGGGAAATCTTCAGCAGACAAGGAGGATTTGCTTCAAAAAGAGGCAATTGTGGATGAATGCACATGAAAGAAATCATGAAACTGCACAAGCTATCTGGCAGGTTTAGAGGAGTGCCAGGGACACAAAGACTGGCAGCTCTGATAGCACCTTGATACCAACAGAACTGACCAAGCTTCAGGTTGTGTAAGACAGAGATACATTTCATGAAAGAATAATGGAGATGTGAAAATTAGGGGATATACAAAGGACTGTCCTCTGTATGCATGTGTGTCCCGCACAAAGGCACTAAGTACAGGGATACCTGACAGTCTTGCAGACCTGCCTCAGTCACACCTGTGTGCACTGCATGTCCTGCTGCACCATGCAGCAGCCAATGGGAGGCTCTCTCAAAGACCAGATTTTATCTTCAGTCTGTGCCACAAAGGACTAATTACTGTAAAAAGATGATGTAAATATGCTCAGTATTACCAGGGATTACATATTCAAGTATTATGTAAAATCACCACAAAACTACCGGCCAGGTGTGAAATACCGCACATGGTAGGTACTCAGGTATTTACTGAACAATGTGAATCTACGCTGGGCCTGTTTACACTGCCCTTTACAAGTACCAAGGTAATAGCATTTCTTCAGGAAGTCTTTTGCTAATATGTCCACTGATTTCTGTGACCAAAACTTGGGCTGGAAATTCACATGGTCAATATAGGCAGTAGAAGTATCTGATTTACAACTGTGACATAGCCTCTGGCTTTGGCTGGCCAAGCAGTCTCTGTAGAACCTAAGAATAAAAGGCATGTCAAACACAGATGGAATCTGTCAACCTAACAGTTCTTATTACAACACTTAAACTGAACTAAATAAAAAACCAGTGTTCTACTTTTGCAGGTTTACTTAGAAAGACTTTTAATTTATGCTGAGATTGACATTTGTCCCACCAACTGGAAAAGAATTGTTTTGGGAGCCATTATTCTTGCCTCTAAGTATTTGCACGATCTGGCTATATGGAATGCAGACTTCTGCAATATCCTCAGGAGCATTACAGTTGAGGACATGTGAGTTTTCACAGTTTTGGTGAACTTTCTTACCATTTTCCATTACCTTATTTTCCTCTTTAAAATTTACATATTAACAAATATTTTAAAGGTTATATTATTCAGAGGACTGAAATAGGCATATAATTACATACATTTTCTACCCACATTTGGTATAATAATTCATATTCCTCAACATTAATTACTGGGTCTTGATGTGTTTGTTGTAATAATCTACATGATAATTTAAATGGAGTTCTCTGGTGGTCTTTGCAAAACATTTTACAGGCCCACTTCTAAGAACAAATTTACTATAAATTTCTTCATGGCATAGAAACACCCTCCTGGTTTTTGGCAGGCCCAAACTCTGGACTTTGGAGGCCGCACCCGCTTTCCTACTAGTAGCTCCACCCCACCAAGTTTCAGAAAACAATCTGCACAGACTCAACATGTGGTGCGGGGATGGGGGAACATACTACCATCTTCTGTGAAGTCTGAATGGCATCTCCCACAGGAGCTCCAGGAGTCCCATCCTCCCCGGAAGCCCTTTCAGAACCAGTTCAGCCAGCAGCTAAGACTAAGACTAGTTTAAGACTGACAGCGAGTTAGCAGACAGAGGCTGGTGGAGGCAGACCTCACTGTGCCTTCAGTCATTTCCTGACCCCCTCCTGGGCCCTGTGTTAATAAAATCCAGCCTTGCAGTGCAGCAAGTCCCATTCCACATGCAGCCAAGCCTGAAGCAGAGAGCCTCAAACAGTGGATCATTTGTGCCTTTGAGTAGGCTACTAATGGCTAGACAGGGACAACATCTGGCATTAGCTTACACCAGGTTCTGACAAATCAGAGCCATACCCAAAGGGAGGGCCCAGCAGGCAAGCACTAAACTCTGCTGAGATGAATTTCACTTCGTTCTTTTTTTAATTTTCATTATTTTTTCTTTTGGATAGCATTTTCATATTTTTTTTCTTTTCTTCAACTATTTTCTCCCTTTTTCTTTATTTTTTTTCCTTTTATAGCTCTTATTTTACTTTTCCCTTTCCTTGCTCATTTTTCCTTCTTATTGTTTTTATTCTTTACCTTTCTTTTTTTGATGATTTCCAATTTCTATCCTTTCTCTTATTATTTCTCTTCCTTCCTTCCTTCCATAATAATTTTCCTTTTCCTTTTTTTTTTTTTGGCTTTTCATATTCTTATTTTTCATTTACTCTTCCATTTTTCTTTGTACTTTTATTATCCGTTGCTCTTTTGTCATTGATTCTGCTGTTGCTGTTGGGATCTTTCTTTGCTTGTTTTGGTTCTTTTTTGTGTGTTATTTTGTTTTGTTTTGTCAGCACTGGTACAACAGCATACAAAATGTGGTGGGGGTGGAGCCTCACAGTCAGCCAGCTGGAAGGGATATCCTACCAATGAACAGGGCAACAATAATCATCCCAAATACAACTGGAGAGCACACATAAGCCACACAGGGACATTCCTCAGGCATCTAGCTCAGGATATTGAGGAGACTGCACCACTAGGTACCACAACACTCCTACTATATAAGACTACTCAATGAAAACAGAGCATCAGAACAGATCTATCTAATACATAGAAACAAACAAAAAGTCAGCTAAAGTGAGGAGAGAAAAAAACAACCCCAAATGAAAGAAAAGGAGGAATCCCCAGAGAAAAAGAGTTCAGTGAAATTGAGGCAAGGAAATTATCAGACATAGAGTTTTAAGTAATGGTTATAAGGAAGCTCAAGAAACTTCATGAGAACTACGAGGAACTTAGTGAGAACTACATCAACATGAATAAGGACATAGAAACTATGAATAAAAATCAGTTGGAAATGAAGAATGCAATATCTGAAATGAAGAACACACTAGAAAGAATTAAGAGCAGTCTAGATGAAGCAAAGGATCAAATCAGTGAGTTTGAAGACAAGCTAGAAGAAAAACATCCAATTGGAGCAACAAAGAGAAAAAGACTTAAAAAAAATAAAGATGGTTTAAGGGAACTTAAGGACAACATGAAATGTAACATTATCAGCATCATAGGGATATCAGAAAGAGAAGAAAGTGAGCAAGGGCTAGAAAAGCTGTTTGAAAATAAAGACAGAAAACTTCCTTAACCTGGTGAAGAAAAAGTCACACAAGTTCAGGAAACCCAGAGAGTCCAAATCAAGATGAACCCAAAGAGAGCCACACCAAAACACATCATAATTAAAATGACAAAGTTTGAAAACAATGAGAATCCTAAAGGCAGCAAGAGAGAAACAGTTACCTACAAGGAAGTTCCAATAAGTCTGTCAGCTGATTTCTCAACAGAAACCCTTTGAGCCAAAGGGCCTTGTTTGCATGAAGTATTCAACATAATGAAAAACAAGTATCTACAACTAAACTACTCTATACAGCAAGGCCATCATTTAAAATTGAAGGTGAAATAAAGAACTTCCCACACACAAAAAAAAAAACGGCTAGAGGAATTCATTAACATCAAACCAGAATTGAAAGAGACTTTAAACACATTGCTTTAAGAAGAAGAAATAGAGAGAGAGAAACAGGTATAAATGAATAAAATGGCAATGTATAACTACCTTTCAATAGTAACTTTAAATGTAAATGGATAAAATGCTCCAATCAAAAGACATAGGGGAGCTGAATGGATGAGAAAACATGACCCATACATAAACTTTTTACAAGAGACCCACTTCAGGAAAATGATTTGCATAGGCTGAAAGTGAAGTGATGGAAAGAAATATTCCATGCAATTGTAGACAAAAAAAAAAAAAACTGGGGTAACAATACATATATCTGACAAAATAGACTTCAAAACAAAGGCTGTAACAAGAGACAAAAAGAAATATTAAAGGGATAAAACCAACAAGAGGATATAACCCTTATAGACATATATATACTCAATATATGAGCACCTAGGTATATTTTCTATACCTAGAAAATCTTGGTGGGCTTTAAGCAAGACATCAACAACAGTAGATTCATTGTTGAGGGTTTTAACACCCTGGTGTTACCAATGGATAGATCTTCCAGACAAAACAAAATCAACAAGGAAACAGTGACCTTAAACGACAGACTACATTAAATGGATTTTAGTGATATTTACAAAGCATTTTATCCCAAAGCTGCAGAATACACATTCTTTTCAAGTGCACTTGGAGCATTCTTGATGATTGACCACATGGTCAGACAAAATAAGTATTAACAATTTAAAGAAAATGGGAATAATATTAAGCACTTCCTTGGATGACAATGGTATGAAACTAGAAATCAACCTCAATTAAAAAACTCAAAAATATTCAAATATATGGAGGCTAATAGCATGTCATTAAGTGTATGTGACCATTCTGCATGGCATGGGCCCAGCTCCCACTCAGAGATGTACAGGACCCATGCCAGAGGATAGGTTCTCCTGTGGGGAATCAGGCCTGCAATGTACCTAGGCCACTTTGAGACTTGCTTTTGCTAAAACTCCCTCACCTTGATTTGAAGCAGCAAACATTTACTGCAAAGTAACTTCCTAAAATTCATGCTAAACCTTCCAAAAATGAGTGTAACCATTTCAACTACTTTTCCCTTTTCATGTGCAAATATCCTTCTTCTGTGATGTGATTATCAGCATCGGCTCCTTTGTTTTCAGTAAAAGGTAACCACCTAAAGTGAACCTGTGCATAGTAAATGAGGACCATCATGTAATGTGTGGAAAAAAGAAATAAAGGCCTGTCAAGGCAGAGGCCGCAGCTTTTGTTCCCCTTGAGAGAAAAGCCATGCTCACCCTATTCCTCCACAGGACTCAGTAGTTCGTGTGAATGTCTCATGTCTCATCCACAATGTGGCGGACCCAATGAGCCGGGGTCCGCATCAATTAAGTAATTAATGGGTCACCAATGAGATCCAGGAAGAAATCAAAAAGGACCTGGAACAAATAAAAATGAACATACAACAACCCAAAACTTATAGGATACAGCGAAAGCAGTCCTGAGGGGGATGTTCATAGCATTACAGAGCTATCTCAAGAAGATAGAAAAATATCAACTAACAATCTAAACTCACACCTAAAAGTACTAGAAAAACAACAAACAAAGTCCAAGGTGAGTAGAAGGAAGGAAATAATCAAGATCAGAGTGGACATATATGACATGGAGACTAAAAAAAATAATACAGAAAATCAATGAATTCAGGAGCTGGTTCTTTGAAAAAATAAAATTGATGAACTTTTAACCAGACTCATCAAGAAAAAAGAGAGAGAAGCCAAATTTTAAAAATCAGAATGAAAGGGGAGAAATAAAAACTGATACCACAAAAACACAAAGGATTGTAGGAAAATACTATGGACAACTATATGCCAAAAATTGAACAACCTGGGCAAAATGAATAAATTTTGAGAAACATACAGTCATCCAAAACTGAATCAGAAAGAAGCAGAAAACCTGAAAAGAGTGATAACAACTAATGAAATTGAAGCAGTAATAAAAAAAAAAAAACTCTCAGCAAACAAAAGTCCTGGGCCAGATGACTGCACCAGAAAATTTTACCAAATACTCAAGGAACTAATACCTATCCTTCTCAAACTATTCCAAATATTCAAGAAGAGTAAAGACTTTCAAGCTCTTTTTATGATACCAGTATTATTCTAACTCCAAAGCCAGGTAAAGACACAACAAGAAAGAAAACTATAGGCCAATATCCCTGATTAACATAGATGCTAAAATCCTCAGCAAAATATTAGCAAATCTGATCTAGGAATGCATTAAAAATTCATAAACAATGATCAACTGGGATTTATCCTGGGGATGTAAGGTTGTTACTATATTAGCAAATCAATAAATGTGATCCATCACATAAACAAAATGAAAGATAAATATCACATGATACATCAATAGATGGACAAAAAGTATTTCATAAAATCCAGCAGCCATTTATGATAAAAACTCTCAGCAAAGTGGGAATGGAGGGAGCATTCCTCAACATAATAAAGGCCATACATAAAAAACCTATAGCCAACATCATAGTCAATGGGCGAAATCTAAAATAATTTCCTTAAAGATCAGGAACAAGACAAGGGTGTCACTTTTGCCACTCTTATTCAACATAGTAAGTCCTAGCCACAGTGATCATACAAAGAGAAGAAACAAAAGGCATCCAAAGTGGATAGAAGGAAATAAAACTCATTATTCACAGATGACATTATATTGCCATAGAAAACCCTATAGACTCCGCCAAAAAGTACTAAACCTAATAAAAGAATCTGGCAATGTAGCAGGATACAAAATCAATACCCAGAAATCAATGGTATTTTTATACATCAATAATGAACTATCAGAAACAGAAACTAAAAAACAATTCCATTTACTATTGCAACAAAAAAATAAGATACCTAGGAATAAATTTAATGAAGGAGGTAAAAGACCTGTTCTTGGAAAACTATAGCTCACTGAAGAAAGATGTAAAGGAAGATGCATAAGTGGAAGCATATACCATGCTCATGGATGGAAGAATTAACATCATAAAATACCATAATACACAAAGCAATCTATAGATTCTGCACAATTCCTATTAAAATACCAATGGCGTATTTCACACATCTAGAAAAAATATTCCAAAAATTTATATGAAACCCAAAATAGACCCTGAATTTCTTGAACGATCTTGAGAAATAAGAGTAAATTTAGAGGTATCACAATGCCTGATGTCAAACTATGCTAGAAGACGGCTGTAATAAGAACAGCCTGCTGCTCTGGGCTGCAAAGCCTGGCGTGGGACTGAGAGCCCTTTCTTTTAAGAGGGGACCTTTGCAGCAGAGATATCCCTCTGGATTCTCAGCACAGCATGTGGGAGGAGGGCCAGCCCTTTCGGGATCTCCACCCTTCCGACCAATCTTAGTGTGGCTTCTTTGTAAATCCTTGGTGATAAGACTTCTGTTCAGCTATGATTCAATTGGTTATTCAGATTGAGTTTTCTATATTTTAGTTGTAATTCTAGTTTGGTCCTGGGAAGAGGCGACTGAACTTTTACCTACTGTGCCGCCATTTTGGATCCCATCCCACATTTTCCTGTTGTTTCCAGTCCATTTTTAAGGAGCATACACCTGGTCTTTGAAATAGATTTTTGGCCAGTGTTACAGTCTTAAGGCCTCATGACTATAGAGGGGGTTATTAGCTTAAACCTGAGTCACACATTGTATGTTTGCTTTTACTGATCTTTTCCTCCTTGTTATCTGAAATTCTGTTGTTAAAAAAGCCATGATAGAAAATTAGCCACATATAAAGGTGTAAGATCTCTGTGCTCTTTCCTGCCTTTTAAAGAACATTTCACATGTTTAAAAGGAGGTCTGATGATTTAGGAAGTTCCTACATCTCAGGCAGTCAGAGAAGCATCACTGGGCATCTCCCAGTGCTCATCCCATTCAAGAATTTTTAGGGACACTCGGCAACCACAGCAGTGCTTTGTGGGAGGCCACAGGTGAACCATGAGGGTGCCCCTCAGAGCTGGCACATGAACATGGGAGTGAAACACCAAACTTAACGAAGGCTGTAGATGTGGCTACGTTAACCACTGTGAAGGGCCCTGAGGGTGGTGGTCAAGATGAGCCAAAAATGTATTTTCCACAGACTCTCAAACTGCCTGCTGGACAGTGAAAATGTCTTTGTGTAAAGGGGGTCAAATATATGGTAATGAACAAGGATTTGACTTTGCATTGTGTACACACAATGCAGTGTACAGATGCTGTATCATAGGACCACACACCTCTTGATCATAGTGAACAGTAAAGGAAAATTGATATTATGGCAGGCGATGGCAAAAGTTTGTTTCTGTTATCTCTGCTCGTTACTTCAGATAAGACTCATTCAGAATAATCAAAATGCACATTTACAACTAAGGTGAGGAAGCTTGTGGCTAAAAGAAAGGACCAGGGGTTATCAGTAGTCGTAAAGTGGTTTTCAGTAAAATTACCCACTGTGGTAATAGTGTAAACTGAGTAGTCATGGTGATATTGCTGGTAGCTATCTTAGCAAGTAGTGTGACAGCAAATTATAAACTTAAAACCAATGGAAGTACTTTTGGAGGTTGCAGAAGGTAAAGTAACTTTGACACCATTGCCATTAGTCTTCAAACTGGTCCCCTGGAGGAAGGATAATTTGTACTCACAAACACTAGCCCTGCTAGGATAGCAGCCGATGTTTTCTCAAAACTGGCAACTAAGCTGGCTGGGGCTCTGGTCCTAGTTATGTCATCTGAGAACATGCAGGGAAATGTGTGGGTTTTCACAGGTGTGAGCTCCAGGGGCAAGGGTGGCCGTGTCCACCTTCAGGAAGACTAGTTGTAAAGAATGTTTTTATGTATGAACAGAGAAACACCAGGAGCTCTGCCTATAGTAGGCTGCTTTTGTTTATGATCTTTGGAAATTGGAAGGCATTACCAAAGGTATTCCAATGTGTTTAGAATACATTGGTATCATTCCCCTACCATTTTTAATGTTCTCATTTTGAGTCTAAGTTGAAAAATTGGTATCTATCAGCTTTTTCTTCAAACTTTCCAACATCTATGCATCTTTTCAGAATACTATTTCCCTTCAAAAGAATAAGTTAAGCTGAGCAGCTGCTATTCATAAAATTTGCTGCACCTATAAATGGTATGCTAGTCAACCATGTAGCCATAGAAAAAACAACGAAAACAGATGTTGCATAATCTGTAGGCATAATGATTTTCTTCCATGATTAACCTCTACTAATAGACATGGTAATCTGATAAAGGTACCATATTTTTTCACAATTACCATGTATTAGTAAAGACAATATAAAGGGATAATAATGCATTTATTCCTGTAGTATATTAAGTTTTATTGGCTGATTATCAAAACATCATGGTTTACATCTCTATAGACTTATGGCCAAATGAACAGGAAATTAAATTTGGAAGTAGGTTCAGTTAGGTTTAAAGTTTAGCAAATGGGAACACCTTATCTCTGCTCTGATTCTGGCTGCTCTCCATACAGGAGAAGGCCAAGCCTCTGTTGGCCCATCCAGTGGATAAATTATTAAAACTTTAAAACTAACAGACCAAATATGTTAGAAAATAAGCCTCTCTCATGTTTGTTCAAGGTACTTATCATTTTATTAACTCTATGAATGGGATGACTGTGGAAGTAGTACAATTTCCTCTGATTTTAATTTATTTAACCACTTGGCCAGGGATGGCAGTATGGTCACGTAGCAAAGGACTGCTCCAAAGTTTCCTTTCCCACTTTGCTGAACTCACCCCATGAGGGAGTGTTCCCCTCCTGTTCTGGCAGAGGGCAGGGGTGCTGGACATGTCAGGACTGCATTCCCAAAATGGGAGAAGCACTGTTTGAGTCCAGTGCTCTATCAGAGGTCATATTGTAAGATAGGTTTAGTCCAACTGAGATATCTATCTTTAATCTTTCTGCCTTCCAATTTTTAAAAGTGCATTCAGTTCTATCACAGTTACAGTTTCTCACCCCAGTAAGATTAAGGTGAACAGAAACTTGCATTATGCTGTTTAACCTTAGCCCCATGCACTGGGGCAGGGGAGGGATTTCCTTTTCCATTGAAAGTGGAGTATTTATTTCTTTATTAGAGGTGAATTCTTGTTGCCTCAAAAGTTTTCTCCCTCAGAGATAATAGTGGTGGCTTTCACATGTTGCTGTGGTGGTGCAGACTCCTTTGTCAGCACACTCTCTACTTCAGTAAGCCCCTTCCTGTTACCAGCCTAGTGAAAATGTCGGCAAGTTCTTCAGAGCTAAGAAACAGCATGCATCATTCCTTTCATCTGATCAGTACAGAAAGGCCTTGAGAGTGAATGAGGAGCATGAACCATACAGCTGCACTGATGGGACCCTGAACAGTGAGCCCCAAGGGCACCAGAGAGACACCACCTCCTCCCTCTTGTACCAAACTCAATATGCTGGGATGTAAAAAGGACCACAAATAGCTGTACCTTGTTCGCTTGTTCAAATGTTAGTGAATTAGGACAGGCTTTATTTGTTTCAAAACAAGACTAAGAGCCATCCTGGTAGCTTCAAATGATAATTTTGAAAATAGCCAAGTTGTCTACAGTCATACACCCTGAATGTGCCCAATCTCATATGAAAACAGCCAAGTTGACTAAAATTGTCCTGTGATGGTTTTGTCCTATTTTCTTCCCCAGGAATGAGATGGAAAGGAATTTTTTAGATCTACTAGAGTTTCGTCTTAATATTTCTGCCAGTGTCTATGCCAAATACTATTTTGACCTTCGGTCCTTAGCAAGGGACCATGGACTGCCCATTGTATTTGCTCCTCTTCAAAAAGAAAGAGCACAGAACCTAGAGGTAAGGCTGTGGAATCACTGAGTGGAGTTTTCTGTCAGACATCAAAGCCAACATCTGTGGATAAATCATATTAAGCAAAGATTAGGGAAATGAAAGGCTTTTTTAGATTAACACACTGAAGACTTATTAACCCTTTCATATCATATTTCTAGTGTCTTTTATGGTTTATATAAGAATCCCACATTATAAGAAAATTATAGCCCTGGCTGGTGTGGCTCAGTGGATTGAGCGCCATCCTGTGAACCAAAGCATCACCAGTTTGATTCCCAGTCAGAACACATGCCTATTGGTAGGCCAGGTCCCCAGTAGGAGGCAAAATGTGCTCAACCACACATTGATGTTTCTCTCCCTCTGTTTTCTCCCTCCCTTCCCCTCTGTCTAAAAATAAATAAAATATTTTTTAAAAATTATAGATCTATTCTGTGACCATGGTTCTGAATATTTTAAATCAAACAATCTGTTGATAGTTTATTTGAAACTGTCCTGTCCTAACTTATATATGAATATTTTTTTACAATTGTATCACTAATCATATCTACAAACATAATTTACTTACTACTCTTAACTCAATTTGCAAATTCATTCAATGTATATATGTCACAGTTAAGTCCCACAAGTTTATGAGACAAAGCTAACCAGAGAGACCTATACTTAGATTGTATAATATGTGTTTCAAATACTGGATGAAGAAAGTACATGAGTTTTTAATGGAAATTGTAAAATTCATGGGACAAAGTAATATCCATGGCTTATGACTTTTGGTGAGTATACAACAAAATTATTCACAAATACTTTGGTGGTACTTTGGAATAAGACATTTTCTACCTTGATTAATGCTCAAGTGAAATAGTACCTTATGGTGCTTCAATCATTAGACCTTTCCTACTTTTCAATAAAGTACAGCACATGCTTGTACTTAATTGAAATATAACTATTTCATAATAACTAATAAAGATTGGATAAAATTTAAGTAGCTGAATAAACACTGATTTTGCCCAAGTGTAAGTTTATTATGTTTAAGGAACCAAGTATACTGGCAACAGATGATAATGTTGTTAGGAGCCTATCCTGCCTTTGATATTGTTGAGAATACCTGAACTTTAAAAAATTCTAAGGTCCTCTTTGCTCTAGCAATCTAATCATAGCCCCTAAAAATTCACTTAGAGAATTAGCATAAAGTAGAATCCCAAGGACCTATCAGTGTAGATCACAGCTACCCTAAAAGTCAGTTACTAAATCTATATAAAGAAGTGGGGCCCTGACCCATGTGTCTGAGTTGGTTGGAGTATTGTCCTATAGACTGAAGGGTCATGGGTTCAATTCCTGGTCAGGGCACATGCCCAGCTTATGGACCAATCAGTGTTTCTGTCTCACATTGATGTTTCTCTTTGTCCCCTCCTCACTCCCTCCCCTGCTCTTTCCCTCCATTTTTTCTCTAAAAGCAATGAAAAAACATCCCCAGGTGAGGAGTAAAAAGAAAAGGATGGGAATGTGTGACTTATCAGTGATGTTTTCTTTGTTAAGGCTGGAACTCTTTTTGTTTTTAATTTTGACATACCTGTGTTTTATTTGATTTCTTCTCCTAGGCTATTTCCAGATATTGTAAAAACAAAAACCCCTGCAGAGTGGCTATAAAAAAATCTAGCAGTGCTGATAATATCACCAATATGCAGCACGCTAATGCCATCCTATCTTAAAGGAGCAATGAGGGGCTGTAACATGCTGAGCCCCTCATCTACAATGACTGGAGAAACATCACCTCTCCTGTTCGAAAACCAACAAAGCTAGAGTTTCTCACAAGGGAGAAATGAGGGGTTTTAATATTATAAGCCCCTCATCTACAAGGAAGAGAACTAACGAATGTATTACCTCCCCTGCACAAAAGCAAGCAAAGTTAGTATTTCCTCTTTTAAGGAAGAAATGAGAGGTTGTAACATCATGAGCTTCTCATCTACAAAAAGAGTCAAGACCTGGAGATAGATCACCTTTCCTGCTCAAAAACAGGCAAAGTTGGTATTCTTATAAACAAAGGAAGCGTTATAATGTGAACCCTCGTGTACAAGAACATGGACTGGAGAACTATCACTACCACTCCTGCTCAAAAACCAGCAAAGCATTTTCTATCTTAAGAAAGAAATGAAGGGTTGTAACATCATGAACCCCTCACCAACAAAAAGGAGAACTGGAAAAATAGCACCTTATTGCTCAAAACCCAGCAAATCTGTCATTTCCTCTCTTAGGGAAAAAATGAGGGGTGGTATGGTATCATCAAAAGCCCCTCATCTACAAATACAAGGACTGGAGAGATACCACCTCTCCTGCTCAAAATGCAGGATCAAAGTAAGTATTTCCTCTTTCAAAAGAGAATTTAGGGGTTGTATGAGGGGGAACCCAAAAAAACAGGAATTATCTTCTGGAGGGCAGGCCTGTTTGTAGTACAGGTTTCCCCCGCTACATGAGTGTTCTTCTGTACCAGTACCAGATGGCGCTGTTGTGAGAGGCTGCCTTTGGCTTCACAACATTCTCAGAAGTTTTTAACATCATGAGGCACTATTTTAACCTAATCTTACTTAATTCATGAGCCTTAGTATTTTTATTTCCATTTTGATTATTTTAACTTCTAGAGGATATTACATTTGTTTATTTTTGCTTTCAATTTTGTAGAAAAATGAAATATATCTCAAACTTTTTTTTAAAGTTCTAGTTAAACTTCTACTTGGTGGTATTTTCTTTTGAGCATTGGAGCCCTCATTTAGAAAGTTAAAAGAATATATTTCTATATACTTTAATTTCAAGTGCTTTAATATTTACTTTGGCACTGGGGGGGAAAGAGATTTTTTTTTGACATTAGAAAATTTCTTAAATATTTTTTGTTGCTTCTCAGAGCAAAATGGGCACTTTTTTTTTCATTATGTTTCCTTTCCGCCTCAACTTTTGGGCAGTGTAACTGTATGTGAATTATTTTAAAACAATTTTAATTATGAGTCTTAATTTTGCATTTATTTAAGTTTTCAGACTGGAGGTTTCTCTTCAAAAGAAATAAAAAAACTACTTTTCTTATAAAAATCATATATCCTGTGGTCTTCAGCCTTTGAAATTCTTATGTAACTGACCTGAAAACTGCCAGGATGAACTAGTGGTACAGAAGCTAGATAAAAAGAGTTGCTGTTCTGTTTTTCTTTTCAGGAACTATCTTGCTTGTAGGTGGCTTTTGATAATTGGTATTTCCAAGTGCTTATATTGAATACATGACTTATTCTACCCCTAAAGCTTTCCATTAACTATCATCCATGGAAGTTGTTATTAAAGAAATTAGCGGACTTCCAGAAAGAAAATTTGGATTGATTGTGATATACAGCTTGCTCTCCCTGTAGGACTGAGTGTCTGTGACTCACTGCTGCCCCCTGGAGCTGGAGTGTGTCTGCGATGGCAGTGTTTGCGCTCTGTACCACTGCAGGCACACCAGTGCATTTTTATGACCATGCGTCCGCAGGAAGAATTTTTAAAACTAACTCTTCAATGGTGTTGCTTTCTCCGCCCTTTCAACATAAACTTTCAAAAAAATTAACATATTTTTAGAGTTGATAATACAGTTGAAGGAAATGAGTAGAACATATTCACAAGAATAATAGTCAAAAATGGCATTAAGATTGGTTTTAAATATTTTCCAGTTTTAATGAGTTGCATGTAAGCATGTTTAAGAGTTTCATTAAGGATATTAAAATTTTGATGGGAGTAGTTGAACTAACTTAAAGTTCTTTTAAAGATTAGGAGCTTAAAGCCTGTCTCTATACTGAAATGTAAGAAAATAGTATGATCTTTTTTGTAACATTTTAAATTAATATCTTAGTATATACTGCATACTTATATTCTATAGTGATAGGTTAAATGGCCTCATAATATGTTACCATGGATACTTCAGTAACTAATTTAGGTGGGCTTACTATAGTGAATTCCCCTTTGAAAAATATATTTTAGTAATCTTCCAATTTACTTTGCCTCATTTTCTTTTTTCTTTTTTTAAATATATTTTATTGATTATGCTGTTACATTTGTCCCACTTTCCACCCTTTATTCCCCTCCATGCCCCCACCCCAGTTCATGTCCATGGATTGTACATGCAAGCTTCTTTGGCTTCTCCATTTCCTACATTATTCTTAACTCCCCCCTGTCTATTTTGTACATATAAATTATGCTTCTTCCCTGTACCTTTTCCCCCATTCTCCCCCTCCCCATTGATAACCCTCCATGTGATCTCCATTTCTGTGATTCTGTTCTAGTTGTTAGCTTAGTTTGTTTTTGCTCTTGTTTTTTGTTTTAGGTTCAGTTGCTGATAGTTGTGAGTTTGTTGTCATTTTACTGTTCATATTTTTGATCTTCTTTTTCTTAGATAAATCTCTTTAACATCTCATATAATAAGGGCTTGGTGATAATGAAGTCCTTTAACTTTACCTTATCTGGGGAGCATTTTATCTGCCCTTCCATTCTAAATGATAGCTTTGTTGGGTAGAGTAATCTTGGATGTAGGTCCCTCCCTTTCATGACTTTGAATACTTCTTTCCAGCCCCTTCTTGCCTCTAAGGTTTCTTTTGAAAAATCAGCTGATAGTCTCCTGGGCACTCCTCTGTAGGTAACTTTCTCCTTTTGTTTTCCTGCTTTTAAGATTCTCTCTTTATCTTAAATCTTGGCTAATGTAAATATGATGTGCGTTGGTGTGTGCTTCCTTGGGTCCAACTACTTTGGGACTCTCTGAGCTTCCTGGATTTCCTGGAAGTGTATTTCCTTTATCAGATTGGGAAAGTTGTCCTTCATTATTTTTTCAAATAAGTTTTCAATGTCCTGCTCTTCCTCTTCTCCTTCTGGCACCCCTATGATTCAGATGTTGGAATGTTTACAGTTGTCCCAGAGGTTCCTAAATCTCTCCTCATTTTTTTTTTAATTCTTATTTCTTCATCTGTTCTGGTTGAATGTTTATTTCTTCCTTCTGGTCCAAATCATTGATCTGAATCCTGATTTCATTCACTTCACTGTTGGTTCTTTATACATTTTCCTTTGTTTCACTTTTCATAGCCATCACTTCTTCCTCTATTTTGCAACCATATTCAACCATTTCTGTGAGCATCCAGATTACCAGTGTTTTGAACTGTGCATCTGACAAGTTGGCTATCTATTCATTGCTTAGTTATATTTTTAGAGTTTTGATCTGTTCTTTCATTTGGGATATATATATTTGGTCTGGGCATGCCTGTTACATAGTAAAGGGTGGAACCCTAGGTATTCACCAGGGTAGGGCAATCCACATTGCTGCTTTGTGACCCTGTATGTGAGGGAGGGGTCCAAGAAGGAGCAATGCCACTTGCCCAGCTCTCAACCAGCTTTCAGTCACTTCCCCCTCTACCCACAAGCAGATTGGGCTCTTCTGATGCTTATTCCCAGGTGGGTAGGCTTGTCTATGTTCTAGGACCCCATGGGTCTCTCCATCAAACTCTCTTGTAAGGCTGGGAGTTTCTCCTGCCATCTCAACTCCCACAGGTTTTTTCAGTCAGAGGTTTGAGGCTTTATTTCCTTATGCTGCAACACTGGGTGGTCAGTCTTGTTCCCCAGTTGTTCCTCCTGGTTTATCTGCATGAAAATGTGGGACCTTCTGCTCCACCAGCGGCCACCTGGCTGTGGGTCCTCTCTGTCCTGCCGCCTGTCTCCACCCCTCCTACTGGTCTGGATGAATGTTTCTTCCTTAACTCCTTGGTTGTCGGACTTCCATACAATTCAATTTTCTGGCAGTTCTGGTTGTTTTTTTTCTTTTAAAATTTATTGTTGCCCTTTCTTTGGTTGTGCGAGGAAGCACAGTCTACCTACCTCCATCTTGGCCAGAAGTCTACTTTGCTTCATTTTAAAAGTGGACATGAGTAAAACTGGATTTTAAATTTATTTTTATGGTTGAATAAATTTTAAAAGTTTCATTAACTAAAAATTTGAGAATTTACCTTAGTTGACAAACAAAATGAACTTACATCATAATTTTTATTCCGCGCAACAATCTATTTTACCTGTTCTTTCCTCTAGTCCCAGCTATATTCTTTTTCTTGTGTTTTATGTTTTCCACCATCCTGCCTGCTAAGCTTTTTATTCTGCTTGCCTCCTTTTTCTAAATCACTGTCTTGATGTCAAATTTTATAGTATATTCCCAGTCAAATTATTTAGAGATCGGGCGCAGAAAAATTAATACAATTTGGAAATGTTTAGAATTTTTATTTTATCCTGAAATTTTAAATGTGAAGTATTTTCCACATCATCAATATTACATTCTGTACAAACATCAATTTCATTGGTTTGTGTGGTGTGTATAGTTTTGACTTCTGGTAATGCACGCTTGTTTGCAGTAGTGAATACTCAGGTTCAATTTCAGTTTATTTCCCACACAAATGAAAAGATTATTTAAGCCACTGGAAATTTAAAGATTTTAAAAAGTAATTTGAAATATTTGCCAATTAAAACTAGACTTTGAAAACCTAGCATATTATAACTGTATCAGTTGCAAATCAAAACTTTTTAATTTTGAATTTTTGCTGAATCAATTTCCATAGTGAGAATTAAGTACTAAGATCTGCTTCATAAATATATATACACATAAGAAATTGTTCATTTTGATAAACTAGGGTTGGCATTTTGATTCGACTTTATCTGTGGGGAGCCGAGA